CAGATCGAACCCTGAAACTACCCTGTCGATGCACTCACATTTATTGGTTTGTTGTTAGAAAATGATCACTCACTGCATAAGAATTAACTATTATAATGATATATTTTAAAAATTAACGAATCTTCAAGATATCTATATAGATAGATGTTAACATGATGATTTGGATTAATTTTTAATTAATTTAATAATTTTTATATTCAAGCTTTATTGGAAAACAAAGAAGCATTGTGTTGAGGCAAGAGAATATGTTCATTTTCACTTGATTGAGGTCTTGTGCCTATATTTCGTATAGCGTGCCGTTGACACGATAATTTTAATTATTTTGGTTGATAATTATTTAAATTCCATTGTCAACCAGATCTCCTTGTGTCAAAATGTAATAAAGAAAAGTGATAAAAGTTATAATCTCAATGTGATTCATAGATTATTCGTCCATTTGGCCTATATCCAGTGTAATATAATTAATATAGCAAAGAAGACATCACAATACCAAAAACATTGCCATAGAACGAGTCAGAACAAATATGACAAAAGACCAGTTAAATAGGACATTTCAGGCACGTGCTACTATATCACTTTGACAACGAATTGATTCAGCCAAAGGTCTCTTATCTTGGGGAAGTTTCATATCAAACATTGAGTGTCGTATTTCCCTGTGTGTATTGTCTGCGAGGCAGACCCACGAGTTAGCATCGTCCCCATATCCTTCCTCGATTTTCCAAACTTTTTCTTTTTATTACTTGTCTTTTTTTCTTTTCTTTCCTTATAAAACGACGGCCTTTGTGTTTGCCGCTTTTCCGCACAATCCAATATGGGATTGATCTTACCATATATGGAGTGGGCTTTCTCTACTTCATCTTCGACACTAACATATAGGATAAAAACAATTTGAAATGCTTCGTATCTTGAAATCGAAAATACCTTATGAAGAAAATTAAATTATAAAGGTAGTCCGAATTGTTTTACCATCCAGTTACAGTCATGTGATTATCTCCTGCAAATGGCCTATTATATTAGTCTGGAGACGGCCTGATTATTTGTTCAGCTTCTTTACAGCTTTTTCTTCTTTACAACTTTTATTGGGTATCGATCAGGAAGGAAAATTACAGAACCAACATGCTACCCAAAGAGGGAAGTGCGAACGGGACTCTAGGCCCCATGCTAGGCATTTCCTTTTGACTACAATATAAATCAATACAGTTATGGTAGTAAAAATTGATCACCAGTGAGCAGAGAAAGGCCAAAAAATAATCAATGGAGTTCAAACAAACAAAAGTCCCCCAGGTTCAGTTATCATCATCGAGTACGATGACAAGGACACTTAAGAGCTAATGACCAAGCGCATATCAAATAAACATCAAATGTGTCCTCAAGCAAAGAAAAGTACCTATGCCTTACAAACAAATTAAATTGAGAGTGACTAGAAAAAACACTAGTTGGCACCTCTTTACAGACGGTGTTCCAATGGCAAACTATCCTATTAAAGTAAGATGCTTTAAAAGTAGTGGTTTTACAAAAAGATGTTTCAAGAACCATACCAGGATTTCGAGTAAGACGAGTACGTCTATGTTTGGAGAATTTGACAAAAACTCGTAAACATTAACATTTGTCTGTCCATATAATGATTTATAAAAGAACATTAGATCCTTAATCTCTCTATCATAGCAGAGGAGGAGGAAATTCAAGTCCTTTAGTCTTTCTTTGTAAGAGGTTTTCCCAATCTTGTGAAGATAGACAGATAGACAATTATGTTTGGTACTTAAAATATTAAATAAAAGTGGCATATTGTGAGTTAAAAAAAAAAAAAGCAACCCGAATTTTGGATAGTATGGCACAAAAGAAGTCATCCTCCTTTTTTCTTTCGTTCGTTCCTTGGTTCATTCATTTGTTATTTTTTTATAAGAATGGGAAGCTCTTGGTTGCTTCAAAGACAGCCCCATGCGAACAATGCCTCACTACTTTGGCACAGTTCCTTATGATCCTAGTAAGCCGGATTACAAACTGATGTTTGAGACGTGCAGGGTAAAAGCAGAAAAACTAGGCTATACTTATTTTGGGGTCCAATTCATGAGAGAGTGCTGGGGGTCAGAGAATGCAAGGGAAACGTACGATGATCAAGGATGTGATGACCGCTGTAGGAAAGACGAAGACGGGTATGGTGGTGGTGGGAAATGGTCAAACTACGTTTATCGAGTGAAAGAAGGTGGGTCATCAAATACTTCTTTTTCTGTCCTTGTCCTTGTCCTTGTCCTTGTCCTTGTCCTTGTCCTTGTCCTTGTCCTTGTCCTTGTCCTTGTCTTTCGATCTCCTCATCCAATGTTGTTACTCCCCTAGTATTTGTGCGCCTCTAGCATAACGACCACTTTATTTTCCTCTAGATTGGACAGAATGTTTCAACGATGTATGCTTACAATACAAAATCGCTCTAAAGAGACTCTATGGTACAGAGTGTCCGGAATACAACAAAAAAGTTTACGTGAACAAAGAAATATCTCGACCTTGTGAAAACAATGATAAATGTGTTGGTATGTACTTAACACTTGAAATAGATAATATAGAATAAAAAATAAATAAAATAAATGTTGTAAAAAGAATGTATTTTTTATACAAAGTAAGTAAGTAAGTAAGTAAGTAAGTAAGTAAGT